AAAATGCAAAAAACCGACTTGTTTCACAGTTGGTGCCCGTAAATCCATTGTTGCAATTGCACGTATAGGAGTTATTTAGATCCAAACACAAGCCCCCATATTGACACGGTTCAGAAATGCACTCGTTGATATCTTTAAAGAAGCAAAGAATCGAAAATGTAGGCAAACACATTAAACATATGCTTGGTTACAATATTTAATTTCATATGCATCAATCCAAAACGTGAAGTATAAAACAAAAAATATATCAATATAGAGATGAAGGGGGGGGGGGGGTCGGGAGTGTATGCGAAATCCAGGAACGTACATGAACTTATTCTCTATTTTGCAGAATGTATTCATATCTTTATGAGAGCATTAAAGCTGTTTAGTAATTAAAGTGATAGTTGAGTTCTGTTTTCAGACCGCAAATGCCTTCAAAGTGCTAGGTTATTGCTTTTATTATTATGTATGACATTTCTTGTGCCCTTTTAGAACATAAATTTGCTATGAAGGTAATTTTAGACCCCCAATTGTGTGACATTTAGCCAATACGATCATACCAATTCAGCTCCACTTTCCCCCAAAATACAGGGACCGTTAATTAATTATTTAATTAAAATAACAATACAAGGGCCGGCTGGTTGTGCGTAATATAACCAACACGAAAATGCCAAAACAAAAAAATCAACATCGGCATTGGCTGATATACGACGTAAAAGGCGCTATTTTGTTTTGTCAACGGCTTTTTCAAGTTATCTAATATTTGTGATGGTACACAAATATTAGAAGTCGTTATATTTATGGATATTTCAGCCGTCTCTGAACCGATTTTGATCAAACAAAGATGATTTTGTCATTTAAATTGTATGTTCTTTCAAATTTGACACTCAGTTTTTCATTATCTCACAAAAAATATTTTGTGTAGCGCCCAACATAACTCAACTATCCCTTTAAGCTACGGATACAGATATTTCTTCAACTTGATATGGTATTGGATGACATTTCAAACAAATTAATCAAATCAAACACAAATACGCAACTTTTAAAACAATATCTATGGAACAAGATGCTTATGATCACTTCCCTCCTTCATGAAAGTTTTTTAATATTATATTATAGATTTCCTAGAATTTCTTTTAGCTCATTACAATATTTATATAGAATGAAAATGCAAAACCTACCTATTTCACATCTTGTGCCCATGAATCCATCTCTGCAAAAACACGTAAAGCCGTTAATCCGATCGATGCAAGAGCCTTGTAGACACGGGCTAGAACTACACTCGTTGATATCTTTCAACAAATAAAAATATTCCAAAATTTGAGGATAGACAATAAATATACACTGTCGCTCATAAAGTTGGAATATTTTTGTTTACCCCCATTTATGGAATTATGTTGACAATGATTTATTCCTAACAGATCTAGATAATAGTATACACTCTCAGACTGTATTGAATACAAAATTGTCAGTGTTTGTTTTGCGTGACTGCTAAAGCATGTGTATGCTAATATGCTTATCGACTAGGGGACCTACGCCCTTAAGTGATAAATGACAGTAATGAGGATTAATGCCCAACAAAAGGGCACTAACATCGCACATCGACACGGTTTTGATCATGAGGCCATTGTTCTGTCACTGAACCATGACTGTACGTAGCGGGGCCCAGGGAAGGGGGTAGTTCCCACAAATAAGAATTAAACAAGAAAATGAAATAAATTATCAATAATTCATTGCATTTTATCCCGGTCCCCAACATAACAAAATCCTCTGTACGGCCATACATTATGGGTCAATGCATGGGCACACGGAATATTTTTTTCTGTTGGGGACTTTAACTCGGAGTAATAACAATGTATATATCAATAGAGAGAGAGAGAGAGAGAATGGGGTGGGAGTGGGAGTGTATGCAAACTTCAGGAACGTACATATCTTTATTCTTTATTTTGCAGAATGCGTTCATAGCTTCATCAGAGTTTTAAAGATGTAAAGTAATAACGCTACAAGTATAAATATTTCTACAACTTGATACGGGACTGGATGACATTACATATCTATGAATCAAATCAAAATTCATTAAGCAAATTTTAAAACAATATAAATTGAAAATGACGTTTATGATCACTTCTCTCCACCATAAAACTTTTAAATATTACTTTATAGATTCCCTGACTTTTCTTTTAGCCGATTTCAATATCTAATTAGAATTAAAATTCAAAAACCCACTTGTTTCACAGTTTGTGCCTATGAATCCTTCGTTGCAAAAGCAGGTAAAGCCATTAATCTGATCGATGCAAGAGCCTTGTAGACACGGGCTAGAACTGCACTCGTTGATATCTTTAAAAAAATGCAAAGATTCGAAAATTTGAGCATAGATGATCGGCTACAATATTTAATTTCGTCTAGATATATATATATATACATCTTTCCCAAACGTGAACTCTGAGGTATACAAAATATATATATATCATTGGAGAGAAAGAGAGAGAGAGAGGGGGCAGGTGAGAGGGAGTGTATGCACAATCAGGAACTGACATATCTTTATTCTTTATTTTGCAGTGTATTCAAAGCTTTATCAGAGTTTTTAAGCAGTTAAGTAAAGGGGTTGTGGACTGGCAGATTCTGATTAACGCCATCTACGTCTTCTTTTGCACAAATGCACGTAAACGAATGGATTTGATATAACGGTAGTCAGCGACTTACTCAAATGGTCAGCGTTCGCGAAACAGACCGAATTTTTCCGCACGCTTCGGTTTCGCGTATGTTGCACGCACGTGATTGCTGCGGTCCGTCGTCCGTAGTCGTATTATACCCGATTTGCCCCGAATCAGGCTACACCCACTTCAAGCTACATATAGAAATATGTCTTCAACTTGATACGGGATTGGGGGACTTAACATAGGCATATCCATGAATAAAATCAAAATTAATTAAGCAAATTTTAAAACAATATAGGTAGGTATAGCTCATCAAAAATAATTACAGCAAACACATGTTATTTGATAGTTGCAAATGATCAAGCTTTATGAAAGCTTAAAAACAAAAATAGAATTGAAATCGGTCAATGCGTTGTGATTTTAAACCATTTCTTTGATATCGCAAAATTACTGAAAAACCTGCCAGAAATGGTCAAATTGGCAAAAATGGCATAATTCGACAAAGTTGACAACTTAATTCATCACTTTCTCGGACACAAATAATAAATTAAATTATCAGACACTAAAATATCATCTTTGCGGAAAAAATACAAAAAAGAAAATTCATATATCTATTACCGTTTTGAAAACAGAAGCCAACAAAATAAGTAATTTTTGCAATTTTTGCGAATCTGCAGATATAAAAAAGTTGTGAAAATATATGCGCATATGTAATCAAATCAAAACCGAACATGATACATCAGTGAAACCTATGTATATCAGACAGCTATGGACATATATTCATTTGAAAAAAAAATCATGAATATACATCAAATATGCAGTTTAGGTCATTTCAGCTAATTTATATATTCGCGCACTCATTATGCAAATTAGGTAAGTCAACTGTTTATTTTGGGGGCATTTTTTAATCATATTCATAGATCATATTTACACCAAATATTAACCTTATATTCCAATATTTTTGCAATGGCAATAAAATATGGCGATGGAAATTACTTGGATCACCGTCACAGCTATTTTCTCATGTGTTTCACAAATATTCAGAAAAACCGATCACATGATAAGAATTTGTAGACTTTCAGCTACATCACAGTATAGTTGCTTATTTAAAAAATGTCAGATTTGAGGATTTATGACGATTTTCCGAGAAACCATTCAACAGGCCATAACATTCCACAAGGACTGAATTTTAGAGTAGCAAAAACGTTGGTGACCTCAGTACAGTTGTGGCTACCTTGAGTGTAAATAACAAATTGATTCAATGAATGAAACACATGAGGATATTGCATTCTTGTAGGGGAGTTTTATACATTGAGGTGCATTTTCACCACGCAGAATAGCAGCGCGAGTCAATGGGCGATCAGCGGGCCATGTCACACATAGCTGAAAAGACAATATTCTAATTAAATAATTAACATATTTCCCTCATGGCTATAACAATGAAACTACACAGAATTGTAGTGTATGCTGAAATATATGTTAAATAAAAATTTTAAAATATTGGCTAGTTTTTTTAAATACATTTACAACAATTGCTATTTCTACCAACTGACTGCTGTTGTGTGTGTTTGTTCGCGAGCAGACTGTTTGCACAGGCAGTGTGACCACCCTAATATAAGTTGAAGATGATGCTATGATTACTACCCTCCTTCGTGAAATTGTTCAATATTACAGTAAAGATTTGCTTCTTTTTTTTTGTACAGCTCATTACAGTATTTGATTATAGTTAAAATGCAAAATCCTACTTAACCTACCTAAGATAACAAACAGTCCTTTTCAGGACTATATACCCCCAAGTAAGATTACCGAGTCAGAGTCCTTTCCAGGACTCCTCAACCCTCTCTCTCTCTCTCACATGGTGCACCCGCAAGCCTACTGTATAAAAACCTACTTGTTTCACAGTTTGTGCCCATGAATCCATCGCTGCAAAAGCAGGTAAAGCCGTTAATCCGATCGATGCAAGAGCCACCATTGTGACAAGGGTTAGAACTACACTCGTTGATATCTTTAAAAAAAAAGGAAGAGAATCAAAAATTTTAGCATTGATATTAAATATATGATAGGCTACAATATATAATTTCTTCCGTATATATATATACATCAATCCAAAATGTGAACTCTAAAGTATATAAATATCAATAGAGAGAGGGGGAGGGGAGTGTATGCCGAATTTAGGAACTTATCTTTATTCGTTATTTGCAGAGTGTATTCATAGCCTAATCAGAGTTCTTTAGCAGTTAAGTGATTATGCTACAGATAGAAATATTTCTTTAACTTGATTACGGGAGTGGATGACATCACAAATTAATGAAACAATTTGTCAATATACCATTATATGTTTTCTTGACCTTTTTTGTTAGCTCATTACAATATTTGATTGGAATGAAAATGCAAAAACTTACTTGTTTCACAGTTTGTGCCCGTGAATCCATCGTTGCAACTGCACGTATAAAAGCTATTTACATCCAAACACAAGCCTCCATATTGACACGGTTCAGAAATGCACTCGTTGATATCTTTAAAATAGCAGCAAAAAAAAAAAAATTGGGCAAACACATTTAAATATATAATTGGTTACCATAAAAAAATGTCGTCTTCATAAATTATGCAACAATCCCAACCGTGAACTCTGCAGTATAGAAAGAGAGAGGGTTGAAGTTAAATGTTGAAGAATGTATTCATAGATATTTAGCTATTAAGTAATTAAGATACAGATATAAATATTTCTTCAGCTTAAAACAAGATAGAATAACATTTCAAATCCAGTAATCAAATCGTAAACAAATAATGAACTTTTAAAAACAATATAAATGGAACATGATGCTTATGATCACTTCCCTCCTTCCTGAAAGTTTTTCATTAGTACATTATAGATATTCGTGACTTTTTTTTTTTTTTAGCTCATTACAATATTTGATTAAAATGAAAATGCAAAACCTACTTAATTCACATCTAATGCCCATGAATCCATCGCTGCAAAAACACGTAAAGCCGTTAATCTGATCGATGCAAGAGCCTTGTACACACGGGCTAGAGCTACACTCGTTGATATCTTTGAAAAAGGCAAAGAATCGAACATTTGAGCATGGGCATTAAATATATGATCGACTGCAATGTTTAACCTCACTGATATAAACATCAATCCAAAACGTGAACTCTGAGTATAATAAATATATATCTTTAGAGAGATAGAGAGAGAGAGAGAGAGCGGGGGGGGGGGGGGGGTTGGGAATGTCTGCAAAAAGCAAGAACGTACATATCTTTATTCTTTATTTGCAGACTTTATTCATAGCTTTATCAGAGTATTTTAGTTGTTAAGTAATTATTAAAGCTAATGATGTGATTGGATGACATTCAATTCATGAATCAAATAAAAAAGAAATTAGCAACATTTAAAACTAAATAAATTGAACATGATGCTTAATTTCAAGTCCCTGCTTTTTAATAGTTTTTCATTATTACATTATAGATTTCCTTGAATTTATTTTTTAGGCCGTTACAATATTTGATTAGAATGAAAATGCAAAAACCTACTTGTTTCACAGTTTGTGCCCACGAATCCATCGCTGCAATTGCACGTATAGGAATTATTCAGATCCACACACAAGCCTTCATATTGACACGGTTCAGAAAAAACACTCGTTGATATCTTTAAACAAAGCAAATAATTTATAATTTGAGCAAACACATCAATATCTAATTTTGTCTAAATATGCATCAAGCCAAACCGTGTATTCTGATTTATATATAAATAGAGAGAGGGTGGAAAGTTGGAGTGAATTTGCAAAACTAGAAACGTGTATAACCCTCTTCTTTATTTTGAATAGCTTTATCAGATTTGTTAAGCTGATAAGTAATTAAACTACAGACAGAAATATTTCTCCAACTTGAAACGGGATTAGATGACATTACAAATCGTGTATCAAATAATAAACAAATAAGCAACCTTCAAAACAATATCAATTGAACATGATGCTATTTATCACTTCCCTCTTTTATGAAAATGTGTTAATATATGACTTTTTAAAGCTCACTACCATATCTGATAAGAATGAAAAGGCAAAACCTACTTAATTCACATCTTGTGCCCATGAAACCGTCGCTGCAAAAGCACGTAAAGCCGTTAATCTGATCGATGCAAGAGCCTTGTAGACACGGACTAGAACTACACTCATTGATATCTTGGAAAATGGAGAGAATCGAAAATTTGACCATAGACATTAAATATATTATCCGCTACATTATTCAATTTAGTCTTCATATCCATCAATCCAAACCGTGAACAAAAAAACAAAAATAGAGGAAATTGTAAAGAGTTACAAAAACGCTTCCAAAAATATTTATACACGGCTGGTTGGCAATTCTATTTTTGTTTTTGTTTTGCTGGTCATTGTAACGCAACAATATAAGCTTGTTTACATTGTTGTCAAGAATTTGGCGCCTCTTGACAACACGCGCATTCGGAAACGCGCCACAATTTGCACACGAAACGCATATCACGCGATTGCAAGAGTGCGTACATGCACGTGGGAATTGTGTCATTCTCTCGTGGCGTTTGGTAGTGGCAAGACCTGTTGATTTCGACAATCAAAAATATCAGTGGATTCTTACTCAAATTAACTGACATTGACTTTGTTTTGCATCGGCAGTGGATATCCCTTTAATTTCCTTGAATACCTAGTTTGATTGTTGGTATTCGCTAATGTGAAAATTGTTATTAACTCCTTTTCACGGCATCTGCACTCCCGCCCCCCCCCCCCCCCCCCACTCAGTGTTATTAAGGGTACGCACATGCTCGATCCCTCTTTTTGAAAGCACCCCCTATCTGAGGACTGCCAACATTTTTGAACCCCCTTTCGCGGGCTTTTCACGGGCTTTTCCTGCCTTGGAGACCCCCCTAAATCAGGAAAAATGCTCAATGTACCTCCCAAAATTCGGAATAATTTCTCAGGAGTCCAAAGAGATGAGAGAAAAAAAAAGAAAAACACCCCCTTTTTTAAAGAAATCTCCGGGTGAAAAGTCAAATACACCCCTTTTTTACAATTCTCGGGCCGGACTTTGAGGCACGAAAAGTACCCCTTTAATGGACATTTTGTCAACACGCATGCGGTCATGCCGACCCCTGAGTGAGGGGGCCGGGTCTGCACTGCAGTGGAGAGGTGATTACATTTTTGAGCTGCAGTGTGTTCGTTTGTACGGTAGACTATGAGCTAGTTCAGTGCTGTAAATAGAAATCAGCGACCGGCATGCCGCAAGTAAAAAGAGAAAGACGGGTACACTTTCAAGGCGAAGGAGTCGGTACGAAATGAGCGACTTCGTAGGCGAGGGAGGCCTATATCTAGACCTATATCAGCTAGTTCTGCAGGCCGAGAAACATCACAGCCTCAGGCAGCGGGCTCGGATCTTGCGGACTAACAAGATCAGGGCCAAGTCCCAGCCCTCAGGACCGGAATCTCAACAATTATCCGGTGAGTCGTGAAACGGTATTGACGAAGCTTGGGGCCTGTCAACTTGTCAAGAATACCCCTCCCCCCCCCCCCACGTATCCGCTGCGTGTCTTAAAAGGCGACTAAAAGGGGACCATCCCCCCCCCCCCCCCAGGCGCGGATCCAGGGGTGGCCGAGCGGGCCTTGCCCCCCCCCCCCCCTCCCAGCAAAAAAAAAAAAAAAAAAAAAAAAAAAGAGAGAAGAAAGGAAAAGAAGGGAAAGGGAAAGAGGAGAGAAAGGGAAAGAAAGAAGAGGAAGAAGAAAAGAAAAGAGGGAAGAAGGAGATCGGAGGGGGGGGGGGGGGGGCGAAAGGGCCTTGCCTCCCAGGCTGTTGCCCCCCCCCCCCCAATCAAAAATATAAGAGAGAAGGAAGAAAAGGGAAAGAAAAAAGGAAAAGGGAAGAAACTGGCGTACTGATAGGGGGGGGGGAGGGGCTTAGGGGAAATCAAATTCAAACGTGGTTTATTTCTAATTCCATAACGGTGGATTACAAATATTGCTGAAATGACATAATTTCCGAGATTTTTCCATAATTTTTTAGGTGTTTGTTGGAATAAGACAAATTGCTAAATTTACAGCCAGGAAAGAAATATGCTTCTTGAGATTCCTACCTGTCAGGACCCGAGGAATGGCGGGGATATGGAGCCTCGAACCCCCCCCCCCACTATTTCAAAAAGGTATATTAAAGAGAAATAAAAAAGAAAGAAAAAATAGTTAACTGCCAGTGTCAAAAAATAATGAGGCATCAAAATATGCTCATCTGACCGTGATTAAATGCCTTAAAACAACCCTGAGCTTCCGGGGCTCTGCCCCTGGATTCCCCTTAAGGCGGGCCCTTAGATGCTCATCTGACGGTAATTAATGTCTAAAACCCCTGATTTTTGAGGGCTCCCTGACCGCAGGCGCGTAGCCAGGGGGGGGGGGGGGCGGTGGGGGCGGTCCCCCAAAAATCGCGGGTAAAAAGAATAAGAGAGGAGAGAAAAGGAAGAGGGCGTAGGAAGAAAAAGGAGTAGACAAAGAACATCTTTGAAATTCAGACAAGGATTAAGTGTAGAAAACGGTACAACGCATCGTCTTCTTTCTCTAATAATTTATTAAAACGTCAAAGCTTCCGCGCTTCGCGCAGGAGGGGAAGGGGAGGAGGGGGACTGAATTTAGACAAGGATTAAGAGTCGAGAACTGTACAACGAATCGTCTTCTTTCTCTAATGATTTAATGAAGCGTAAAAGCTTCGCGCTTCGCGCGGGAGGGGGAAAACATAATTCAGACGAGGATTAAGAGTCGAGAACGTTACAACGAATCGTCTTGTTTCTCTAATGATTTAATGAAACGTAAAACCTTCCGCGCTTCGCGCGGGAGGGGGGGGGGGGCGAAACTGAATTCAGACGAGGATTATTTTCGAGAACGGTACAACGAATCGTCTTCTTTCTCTAATAATTTAATGAAATGTAAAAGCTTCCGCGCTTCGCGCAGGAGGGGGGAAAACTTAATTCAGACGAGGATTTAGAGTCGAAAACTGTACAACGAATCGTCCTGTTTCTCTAATGATTTTATGAAACGTAAAAACTTCCGCGCTTCGCGCAGGAGGATGGGGGGGGGGGGGGACTGAATCTAAGGATTAAGAGTCGAGAACTGTACAACAAATCGTCTTCTTTCTCTAATGATTTAATGAAGCGTAAAAGCTTCCGCGCCGTTCGCGCGGGAGGGGAAAAACTTAATTCAGACGAGGATTAAGAGTCGAGAACGTTACAACGAATCGTCTTCTTTCTCTAATGATTTAATGAAACGTAAAACCTTCCGCGCTTCGCGCGGGAGGGGGCCGGGGCGAAACTGAATTCAGACGAGGATTATTTTCGAGAACGGTACAACGAATCGTTTTCTTTCTCTAATGATTTAATGAAATGTAAAAGCTTCCGCGCTTCGCGCAGGAGGGGGAAAACTTGATTTAGACAAGGATTTAGAGTCGAGAACTGTACAACGAATCGTCTTGTTTCTGTAATGATTTCATGAAACGTAAAAACTTCCGCGCTTCGCGCAGAAGGGGGGGGGGGGGGCTGAATCTAAGGATTAAGAGTCGAGAACTGTAAAACAAATCGTCTTCTTTCTCTAATGATTTAATGAAGCGTAAAAGCTTCCGCGCCGTTCGCGCGGGAGGGGAAAAACTTAATTCAGACGAGGATTAAGAGTCGAGAACTTTACAACGAATCGTGTTCTTTCTGATTTAATGAAGCGTAAAACCTTCCGCGCTTCGCGCGGGAGAGGGGGGGGGGGGGGAACCTGAATTCAGACGAGGATTAAGAGTCGAGAACTATACAAACGAATCGTCTTGTTTCTCGAATGATTTAATGAAACGTAAAACCTTTCGCGCTTTGCGCGGAAGGGGGGGGGGGGAAACTTAGATCAGACGAGGATTATTTTCGAGAACGGTACAACGAATCGTCTTCTTACTCTAATGATTTTAATGAAACTTAAAAGCTTCCGCGCTTTGCGCGGGAGGGGGAAAACATAATTCAGACGAGGATTAAGAGTCGAGAACGTTACAACGAATCGTCTTGTTTCTCTAATGATTTAATGAAACGTAAAACCTTCCGCGCTTCGCGCGGGAGGGGGGGGGGGGGGGGGGCGGCGAAACTGAATTCAGACGAGGATTATTGTCGAGAACGGTACAACGAATCGTCTTCTTTCTCTAATAATTTAATGAAATGTAAAAGCTCCGCGCTTCGCGCAGGAGGGGGAAAAACTTAATCAGACGAGGATTTAGAGTCGAAAACTGTACAGCGAATCGTCTGTTTCTCTAATGATTTTATGAAACGTAAAAACTTCCGCGCTTCGCGCAGGAGGATGGGGGGGGGGGGGGGGACTGAATCTAAGGATTAAGAGTCGAGAACTGTACAACAAATCGTCTTCTTTCTCTAATGATTTAATGAAGCGTAAAAGCTTCCGCGCCGTTCGCGCGGGAGGGGAAAAACTTAATTCAGACGAGGATTAAGAGTCGAGAACGTTACAACGAATCGTCTTCTTTCTCTAATGATTTAATGAAACGTAAAACCTTCCGCGCTTCGCGCGGGAGGGGGCCGGGGCGAAACTGAATTCAGACGAGGATTATTTTCGAGAACGGTACAACGAATCGTTTTCTT